AAAACTGTGGACATCAACATCGATGGCAAAGTTACCCAACAAGCAGCAAATGCTCGACCTTCACTGAGGCAGCTGGCAAATGTAGTCCAAACCTCGTTCAAATCCTGAAACGAATCGCTGTGTGTCACATAATATGTCATTTTCAGTATAAAATTTATGAAAATTTTTGCTTCTTATGCAAACAGCTCGAGCTGAGATTTCCAGAAAAGTGATCACACATGCTATCCAACGTTCTGAAGGTCATTTGATGAGACACTGCATAATGAAGCGTTACCGCTGGCATTGCCGATTGAATTTCCTGAAGAGGCAGAATAAGAGTGATAAGATTCTAAATTCTGCTGAGATTGGGATGCTTTCGCTGGCTTTTCTACTGCATGAATTGAATTCTTAAATCATTCATTCGTTATCAGAATGATTCATTCTAATTATGAAACAACGACTTTCATGCCCAATTGATCGTTAGCAGCTATTCGAATCAAAGCTTCCTCTGGTTAAATTACGTTATAAGGTCTTCCAGTTACTATTTTCCAAGTATTTTAGAGTAGTGCGACAACGTGCTTCTTTATAATACAGTGTTAGGTAATTCCTGAACGAACTTTTATCAAGTGCTCTACTTGTGCAGGATATGTATTCCAAAACCCAGTTTCCAGCTTTCTAGCCGTTTCCCAAATGCGCATACAGTTTGCTGAATGTGTAACTTAGACTATATATCATCCAAGGGATATCATGTTTTTGCAAACTCACTTGCTTGTGTTTCTTTCATGTGATAAGATACTTTTGCTACTGCAACAGTATGTTCTAATGTCGTCCTCAAGATAGCTTCATTTTTACTATAGTAAATGATCCATGGTGTAAAAGATCCAATCAGCTGCACTTGTGATGATGCAAATATTGGAGAATCTGGGCGAAAGCCAAAAACAATACGTGGCAGCCCATGGCATGTCAGACATGTTTATAAAAATTTACACGATAAAATTTTTAAGATCCACGTCAGTTAGTTGGATTGATGAAAAATCATTCGAAAGAAAGCAAAATGAAAAAGAAGATATTCGAAGCCATTACAGCACTGAAAAACCATATCAAGGGAACTGACAAGTGAAATAAAACACGATTATGTCAACTTGGGTACCGCGGCTGTTCCATCAAGTGTTCCATGTACGACGGTGCAGCTTTTGCGTTTAAATTGTTCTCCGTTTATTACTTGAAAATAAGAGTTGTTTTGCTACCTTGTCACAAATACTTCCATCAAATTGAATCTACGAACCAGGATTCAGTTGTGATTCAGGCTAGGAAGAACTACTCTCAGTTTGAACAATAGGCAGTTTATCACTCTGAAATTCGAGACTCTTGCATATCTTGTGGATTCTTCATTAAAGAATTGCCGTGCGCTGAGAAAAGCGATTCAATTATTTAACCA